TAAATACTTCTATACAAATATATTAAAAACCTAAAGAAAAACCCTAATGCCCATTAGCCTAGCATTTTCCCCCAAACATACCTCAGATGATTCTTCCCAATTTTTTTGAATCTAGTCACAAGGAATTCTTGCTCTAGACTTTTTCCTAAACTAATTAACAGTATCTCCAATTTCCAACCATATAGTTAGAAAACAAACTGGCTGTGTTCAGTGGCTCAGACCTATAATCCTAGCACTGTGGGAGGTCAAGGCGAGTGGATTGCTTGAGCTCAGGAGTTTGAGACCAGCCTGAGCAAGAGCAAGACCCCCATCTCTACTTACAATAGAAAAATTAGCCAGGCATGGTGGTACACACCATTGCCAATGCCTTGGTTCTCTCCCTTATCATCTCTTATCTGGAATATGGGAACTGTCCTTAACTAGTCTCCTCCTTACATTCTGCCTATCACCCTGTCATCAAAGTCACTTCCACAGAACATAAAGTTGATGTTATGCATCTAATCAAGATCTTTCTACAGTTCCCACTGTGTACAAGATAAAGTCACTCTCTTAGCTGAGATTTCACAACCTGGCCCTAACCTTCCTTAGCTTCTCTCCCAGCAACTCCTACGATAGTTTGGTCTGACCCCTGGACACCATAAACTCTCACTTGTCCTAGTTTTGTACTGCTTCCTCCTACAGCCAGAAGCCCTTTCACCCTTCATGCTCCAGTTAGCTCTTCCTATCCTGACCTTTTGACTAAACCACTCCAACAGAAGAAACTGATCTCCCACATATGTTTCCACAGCTCTCTGTACCCACAACTATATTTGAGTTAATCATTTACTTATCTCATTCACTAGTTAAGTCTACAAACTTCTGGATCTGGAACTTTTCCCTGAAGTCCTCAAGGATAAGGTCAGGAGTTAATCTTTACATTCTAAGGACTTGGCAGGGCTGTTCCATAAAGGTTAAATAAAAGAATGAATGTCTCAGCCACTTTTACACATGTCATCTTTTTTCTATAAATAAAGACTGGAGAAAATCAGCACAAGTATGTGAAAACAATGCACCTAACTAAAACAAGTTCCTTTAGAGTCTTACTTTGTCACTCTCAGTAGAGTGCTATGGCATCATAGCTCACAGCAACCTCAAACTCTTGGGCTCAAGCGATTCTCTTGCCTCAACCTCCTGAGTAAATGGGACTATAGGTGCCCACCACAACACCCAGCTATTTCTTTTTTAGAGATGAGGTCTCGCTCTGGCTCAGGCTGGTCTTGAAACTGTGAGCTCAGGTGATCCACCTGCCTCAGCCTCCCATAGTGCTAGGATTACAAGAGTGAGCCACCACACCAGACCCCTAAAACAAGTTTTCTTTGAAAAGTCTCCCAGCAGGCCGGGCACAATGGCTCATGCCTATAACTCTAGCATTCTGGTAATCTGAGCACTCTGGGAGGCCAAGGCAAGTGGCTAACTTGAGCTCATGATTTTCAGACCAGCTTGAACAAAAGCGAGACCCCATCTCTACTAAAAATAGAAAAAACTGAGGCAAAAGGATGGCTTGAGCCCAAGTTGGAGATTGCTATGAGTTATGATGCCATGGCACTCTACCCAGGGTGACAGTTTGAGATTCTGTCTAAAAAAAAACAAAAGGGAAAAAAAAGAAAAGTCTCCCAGGAAATCATTTTTTAAGAATGTAATGAAAGCAAAAATCTCAATTATTGATTTGTGCTTCCTGGTAGAGATAAGTCACAACTCTTTGTTTTAAAAGACGTTTTTATAATAAGCATCAAAAGTAGAATAACTATACCACTTAACCAAAGAAACTGTAATTAGCACCATAAATCACTACTGAATGCCAACAGAATAAATCAAGATTATTATTTATACAACAAAATAGTCACAAACAAAACTACTCCCTTCAAAATTTGTTCATGTATTTCCCCTTAACACATCTGTATGATTCAGGAAGACAGCATACACGGTGGTTAAGAACACAGGCTAGAATCACAATGCTAGATGTGTGATTTAGGCAAATTACTTAAATTTCAATGTGCCTCAGTTTCCTCATTCATAAAATAAAGATGATAGAAGTACCTACACCACGATGTTGCTGGTTTCCTCACAATGTTGCTGGGTACCTGAGTGAGCACATATAAGGCCCTTGTACAGTGTCTGGCAGAGAAAACGAATGTGTAGTCATGAATGTCGTCTGCTATCCCTATGTTATCAACTTTCTAAGGCATTTTACATATACTGTCTCCCACACACACACAACAGCACAATGAGATTGTCTGAACAAGAAATCCCCCCTTCAGAGATGAGGCACCGACAGAGAAGTTATATGATTACCCTAAGATATTTTATGTGGCAGCTCGGTGCCTATAGCTTAACCGGCTAAGGTGCCAGCCACGTACACCTAAGGTGGCGGGTTCGAATCCCCAGCCTGGACCCGCCAAATAACAATGACGGCTGCAACCAAAAAATAGCCGGGCCTTGTGGCAGGCGCCTGTGGTCCCAGCTACTTGGGAGGCGGAGGCAGGAGACTCGCTTGAGCCCAGGAGTTGGAGGTTGCTGTGAGCTGTAATGCCACGGCCCTCTACCCAGGGGGACAGCTTGAGGCTCTGTCTCAAAAAAAAAAATAATAAAATAAAATAAAAATAAAAAAAGATATTTTAAGTGGCAACGTATGGACTAGAAACCACACATAACCTTAACCCTAGGCCAAACTGACCAACTTCCCAAGGATCCATTTCAGAAGAAACATTCTTTTGGGTTTTCCGTATTGTTCCTCCTGGCTGTCAGCAACAGCCAGCCTAAACACATGATGGGTGCTGAAGACTCTAAGACTCTAAGACTCTAAGAAAATAATAATTATCAATAAAGACCTTGGCAGGAACAAATGAACTATACACCATTTGTTCAAATTAAAAAAGTAGGAGAAGCCTCACTTTCACAGTACCTGATGCATAGCTGGCACTCCAGACACAGGAGCTACAGATATCTAAAAACACAAAGTGCTATCATGCTTTCTCAATTACAGGGCAAAAATCAACCCTGCTACCAAAAGCAAGTCACTTAATACTAGGCTTATCTGTCACATCCAAATACAATGTGACAACAGAAACTAAAAGAAAAAAATGTTAAGAATAATCTGCTTCTCCTTTCAAAAATATTTAAATTTTGGCTGGGTTCATCAGTTCACACCTGTAATCCTACCACTCTGGGAGACCAAGAGGGGTGGATCACCTGAACTCAAGAGCTGGCAACCTCCCTGAGCAAAAGCAAGACCCCATCTCTACTAAAAATAGAAAAAAACTAGCCAGGCCTTCTGGCGGGTGACTGTAGTCCAAGTAACTGAGGAAGCCGAGGCAAGAGAATCTCTTGTGCCCAAGACTTTGAGCTAGGACACCATAGCACTCCACAGAGTGCTGAAGTGTGAGACTTTAATAAAATTAAAATTAATAAATTTAAGTTTTGCAAAGAGGATCATCAAGACAGTTTCTGAAAACTAACCCAACTAGTTTTATGTCATGACATGGTATTTCTTTGCCCATGAGATTGATATAAATAATACTTTATCTGGGTAAGACCTTCACTGACACTTATCTTCAACATTTTCCTCAGACTTAAACCCAACCACAACCCCTACAGCCACATGCACAGTGTATACAGGCAGATGCAATGCTTGTAGGGAACCCACGTGAACCAAGAAAGTACAAGGAAGCAAAACGTCTCCACAATCACATCTAAGTGCTTTATCTTTTCATTTCTTCTGTCAAATGATTAATCAGAGCTAAGATACACCTTAAAGATCAGACTTGACGTTGGCCCCTAGCTAAGGCCTACTTTTCATTTCCTTGCACTGCCACTTTGACACCTACAGGCACGTCTCTTGACACCTGGGAGAATACACAGGGAAGGCAACTCTAGCTCCTGCCTAGAAAGCTTTCGTCAACGCGCTGGCCACTTGGGACGTTCTTGCACAGGGGACTTAACCAAATCAGAGTATAAATGGTATTTGGGGTCAGTGCATCTCCCAGACCCGCCAAAGTTGGAGCAGTTGATTTTCCTTCTGTAAATAATGATGGGACACCAGGCCCTCCTCATCCGGAGGCTACCTTGCCCTCAACAACCCACCTAGCGCGGCCCCTCGGGCTCCCGACGCCTCCGGCAGCCTCCAGGAGTCTCTTTCCTACGCCTCCTCTCACCTGAACCGGCGACGCCACTACCTGTGACGGGACCCCAATTCCCGGTCAAGGGACCGTTACTGGGGGCTGCAGTCCGGGGAAGGCCCGCGGCTCAGGGGGGAAAGCCCGGGCTGCAGCTTCCCCGACGCCGCCATTTTCCCTGCGCCGTAACCCTCTCCTGACAATTCTAGCGTCCCACCTGTGACTGGCAGGGGACTCCGCGCGACGCCGCAAGGGGCACGTGGGCTACCCGGGAACTCCGTAGGGGTCACAACCTCAGGGCAAAACCCGCCGCTAATTCATCCCGTAGCGAGGAGGCGTCCAGCCGTCGCCCTAGTAATGCGTCCCGGCAGGCTCCATCCTCATTGGCTGTGGACGTCTTAACGCAACGGCGTCCCCGGCTGCGTGGGAATCCGGCCCCGGGCGCCCCGCCCCTGCTCTGCAGCCCGGGATACCCGGGCGCCCAGCCTCTAAAGCTCTTTTAAAGGGTCCGCGCTTATTTTCTAGTCTGGCCTGGAGAGAGAGGACCAATGGGGCGGAGGGGTGTACCGGAGAGAAACAAAATGGGAAATTAGTGGAGGTCATTGTCCCAGGGAACCCATTGGTTCGTCCAAACCCTAGAGTTGCAACATGCAAAACGGAAATCTGGGAGTTTAATTTACGAATCTAATTTTATTGCTCCAAGTCATGGGGCAAATCAGTAATAAGACCATTTCTAGAACCCAGATTTCCGATTGCTGCGGCGCAGGGCTTTCTGCGTTTCCTCAGTCCTGAGGACACGTTCTCGCCTGCGGGACCCAGAGCATTTTCATCACAACCCCCTCTTTAAAGGTCTTTCCCTGTATCTGCCATGGTGTGTGTGTATCCTGACCTACTGGAGCCGAAACTTCTGAACGTTTAACCTCTTTATTTTATTTCTCCTGCAGATGCCTTTCTTGTGTTGGCCTTCAACAAATACTGAATAAAAGTCTTAAACATATCCACACATCACAAGGAGACACTCTTCAGTCATCATGCATATTTATAAACACTATCTTTTATTCATTTATTCCAGAAGGCAGAGGGAAAAGTGACTTTTATTTTGGGTTTTTTTTTTTTTTTCAGATTAATGTAAGGGTACACGCAATCAGGTTACAATGTTTGTGTTTGTTAGATGAGGTCCCTGTTGTAGTGCTTAGGAGGTGTGCCCATTAGGTGAGGACACATCAGTCTTCTCCCTTCCCCTCTATTCCCTTCCTTCGTCCCTTTCCCCCAGTTTGAATTAAATTGATTTTTCTCTTGTGTGGGAGTGTATTAGTTCTTCTACTGGCTTCATATCAGTATTGAGTGTATTGGATGCTTGCTTTTCCATTCTTATGATACTTTACTAAAGGGAATATTCTCAACTTTATCCAGGTTAATGCAAAAAATGTAAAGTCTCATCTTTTTTACAGCAGAATACTATGCCATAGGTTACATATACCACAGTTTATTAACTCATTCATGGGTTGATGGGCACTTGGGTTGTTTCCACATCTTGGCAATTGTTAATTGAGCTGTGATAAACAATCTAGTGCAAATTCCCTTATGATAAAATGATCTTTCTTTTGTTTCTGGGTAAATGCCTAGTAATGAGATTTTGGTATCACATGGAAGGTCTATTTTGAATTCTTTGAGTATTTGCCATAGTTCTTTCCAAAGAGGCTGTATTAGTTTGCAATCCCACCAACAGTGTCCAAGTGTTCCCTTCTCTGCACATCCGTACCAGCATCTGTGACTTTTGCAATGTGGGCTATGTTCACAGGGATTAGGTGATATCTCAGGATCATTTTGATTTGTATTTCTCTGATGATTAGAGACAATGAGCATTTTTTCATATGTTTGTTGACTGTTCACCTGTCTTCTTCAGAGAAGGTTCTGTTCATGTCGCTTGACCAGTGATAGATGGGATTGTTTGCTCTTTTTTGTTGATTAAGTTCTCTGTAAATTCTAGTTATCAACCCTCTGTCAGACTTGTAACATGTAACCATCTTCTCCCATTCTGAAGGTTATCTATTTGCTTTAATTGTCGTGTCTTTAGCTGTGCAGAAGCTTTTCAGTTATTTAAGTCCCATTGGTTTACTTTTGTTGTTGTTGCAATTGCCAATGAAGTCTTCTTCATAAAATCTTGCCCTGGGGAAAGGGAGAATTTGTTTAAAAGTACAAGGTTCCTGTCTCCACAAAAATTATAGTGTGAGAATAATGGGCATATAGGTTTGGGATGTATAGCTTCAGCTAAACTATTCATCCACCCACTCATCCCCCAAAATTCCCTGTGAATCAAGGGTTCCTGGGCTCCTTTCCCTAATCAGCTTCATAATTTCTCTAATTTTATTCAGGAACATTTAAATATTGAAAATGTGCTAAAATTGCATCAGAAAATGAATAAAAACACCAGAGGGAAATACCAGAAACAAAAACTAACTCTGCCCATTATGTCTGTAACCTTAGGGCAGAATTCCAATTATTGGAATAAAAGATCTCTAAATTCCTAAAGTCATAAAGAGGTGGCAAGGCAATGCTCCTGAACCCCAGAGGGCTGCCCTGGGACTCTTCTGGGACTTGCCAGAGGCTGCACAGAGCCTTTCCTCTAGTACAGATACCTCTAGTGTGTGATGTGTCAGGGGGTACTACCCAGGAGGCTGGGCCGCCTGTACCACAGACTATATGCTGCTAGACTGAGCATATTGCTCATTTCTTACCGCTTCCACGTCAACTAATAAATAAGTAGAAATAGTATTCCCAAGTGCAAAATAAGCTGGTTCCTAAACCTTAAGAGATCTGCCAAGTGTGATGCTTCTTTTTTAGTGGCAGAGGATCCAAGGCACAGTAACTTGTTCTTTATTTTAGAGCAAATATCCTGACAATCCTGATGTGCCCTAAACCAATGTTTTTTAACCTTTGTTATCTCAAGGCACACTTGAACCTCTAGTTAAACTTCCGCAGCACACTTAAGTTACGTTGATCAAAAAAAGAGTAAAAGAAAGAATATACCTACTGTGCTTTGAATTTCTTCCAAAAATAATTTAAGTAATGATGTTTAAAAATTTTCATGGCACACCCACGATCCTTTCATAGCACACCAGTGTACGTGCACCAGTTGAAAAATCACTGCCCTAGACCATTGGACCACTTGACCACCCAAATAAAGTCTATGTTTTAGATAATAGTATTGTATCAAGATCTTCTTTGTTTTGAAATATATTCTATGTTTAAATAAGATATTAACATAGGAGGAAGCTGGGTAAAGTGTATATGGAAAATCTCTTATTCCTTTTGTATTACACCTAAATCTAAAATTATCTCAAAAAATTTTTAAATAATAATTATTTTAAAATGCTGTCAATGTATCAAGGTCCTGAATTTTTGTGGGGTTTATCCACCCTCTGGAATCTATGTGTCTCATCAAGGGATCTAGAGTAAAGTTATGTACCCCATAACAATGGTTCCATCAGCAATAGACCTCATATATGACAGTGATCCTAAAAATTATAATACTATCTGTTTATTGTACCTTTTTCCAATGTTTAGATACACAAATACTTGCCATTATGTTAAAATTGTCTACATTTTCAACACAGTAACATGCTGTACAGGTGTGTAGCACAGGAGCAATAGACTATAGCATGGGACCTAGACCGATATAGTCGTAAGCCTCCCCATTTAGGATTGTGTGAGTACATTCCATGATGTTTGCACAACAATGGAATCACCTAAAGACACATTTCTGAGATTGTATCCCTATCTTTAAGTGATGCGTGACTGTATTTGTACTCCTTGCTCTTCAGATCTGAATAATGTATTTGATTCTGGTAGATCAGTGTGATGCCAGATGGTCCAGGTCCCTTTGGAATATATTATGACAGAAAACAGGAAAATGAACATAGCCTTGGAGCAAAATGGTAAAAGTAGAATGTTATTTTCCTCTTGATGCGATATTGTTTTTATTTGCTGTTTTATTTGTTGGGAGGGGAAAGAGAAGGCAGTTCCAAGGACTTCTATTTGGGCTTTGCTACAACAACAGCTCTTTCTCTGCAGGCTGAGGACCAATGCGAAGTTTCTGCCAACTGCTAAGTGTGTCCTTCACTCCAATTACACATTCAGGAATCAGAGAAATGATCCCTAAGTTTGTAACAGGACCCACCGAGACAGACCTGGGTGTGGACTACATTTATTATCTGAATTCAATATGCCCCTACTTTAATAGGGATCAAGGGGGACAGGGACAGGGGAATAATGGTATTTAGGACCATTATGTAACCAACGTCTGTCAAAAGATTGGGGTATTACTTTTCCCCAGTCTATGGTTATACAAACAAATATCCATAAATCACTTTAAAGAAGGACTGAACAAATCTGTACATACTTACCATGCCGTTATGAGTCCTTCATCATGGACACCAGTCTCTCCATCAGTCCATGCATTCTAGGCCTGAAAACAGGCTCAGGTCTTAAAAATGGGCAGGAAACTGTGATTTTTCATTGGGGTGGTATCTGGCCCCAGCCTTCTACTTACCTTTTCTTGGTGTCTTCTGGTTATATATTAAGCCGTACCCTTTCTGGCTGCTGATATATCTTGTCCTATAAGTGCTTTACTCTGTTAGCCATGTCCATTGGCCAGGCCAGGACCCCTGACTGTCACATCCTTGCTATCTCTTATGGTAGTTAGGTTGCCATTGCTTCTCACAGTTGTCTCTGCTCTTCTGGAATTCTTTCAACATCACTTCTCCTGCATCCTTCTCCTTCCCTGTTCTGTACCAGCTTCCTTCCATCGTTAGACTTGACCTACAGAGGACAAATGCCACTGAACTTCTCAATGATGGGGGTACTCATGGATGACACTCACCAGAGCGTTTAGTGTCATCTTGATAAACAGAATGTTTTCCAGGTCCTCCTGAGGGTTATAGTCGTGAGGAAAGATTTCTGGTCTTGTTTGGTCAGTGCATTTGGCATAATTACTCCTTTGAGTTTTTGATTCCTTCCTCCACATTCTGCCATAACAGTTTTGGCAGCTCTATTTATTGTGTACCATTTGCTTTTTCCAGATTCTAAGATCCATCTGGCAGCACATTAGAACTGACCTTTAGAACCTTTAAGAACATGTAGAGTTTTTGTTATGATATTAAATAATATATCATAAGAATGTGCCTCTTAATGGAAAACTCCCCTAAACCATTCTTATATCCTCCCCCTCCTTAAGGTAACACCCTTGGTATCCACACTCAGACATAACCCCAGACTATGAACCAGGTCTTATAGTTTTTATTGCACACAATGCCTTCTCTTCTTTTATAATCCAGAACTTCCCCAGTTAGGTAAGATGTATGGTT